TAATAATTTTGAAATTTAAAATTAAAGAGTTAATATTTCAGCATAATAATAAATCTATATTTTTAAAGGGTAAATCTGCTCCTTTATAGGAACATTAGGGGTATTTTTGTTTTTCTTAAAAGTTCAAGGGTATATATGTACTCCAACAGATACTTCAGGGGTATATTTGTTTCAAAAATTAAAATAGGGGTATATTTATTCTCACACCCATACTACATGATATGTTAACTATATTTGTACTTTTTCCCTTGATTGTTTCAGCTAAGCTTGATGGGAGTAAATTGAGTGGAATTAATAATCTACTTTTTTTTTTGGAAGAAATAGGTTTGAATTGATAACACATCATTCAGATAGTAGGTAAACCGACAAAAAGACTCCTGAAAACCGCCGTCCCTCGAACCAGACTCAGAGTTTATCACATCGACAGAAGCAATATAACTCGCCGATCCATTAATGGACACAAATGAGCCAAAGACGGTTAACACAGTTCTTTCATCACCCACATCCACATCCACAGTCTTACAGCAAAAAACATACCACAAGGGAAAGCAAACAGTATGATCAAAGAAATTAAAAAGCAAAAAGACAATAAAATAAAACTCTTGCTCCTTCTAGAGCACCACTTCCAACCACGTTCCGGAACCTCCTATCTGTTTCTGATACTCCGGCGGCGGTTCAAGAGGAGGACAAACCGGCAATACTGTAGCTTTTTCCTCACTCTGCCTCTTATTCATCACGTTCTCTGTCAAGCCTCCACTTTCACGACCAATCACAAATGACCTTGAATGTTGAATCCAGATCTGTTCCAATTTTTAACCCCAAGCTTCGCCCATGACCTTTACTTGATGATGTCATCCTTTCACTATTGCTGTCTCTATTTCTTGGTCGTACCTAAAAACTCGCCGCAGGAGGAAACCCCGAATTGAAGAGCCGCCCAATCTATCAGATCGGTGGAAGAACTAAAACCTAACTAGAGGGACAACAACCGCTTTAATACTTTCGACCACAGTTCATTAATTAAGAGCCTTGTTTACCTATTATCTGATGACGACGATGGACGGAAGATGACCGCAGCAGTACGCAGGAAGACGACGGAACGCAGATCGAAAGGAGGCAGCCGCGGCGCAAATTCCCCCTGGGTCCCGTACTCCAAACCCTATGGCAAATGTTTTAAGAATGTTCTTTGATGAATTAATAATCTACTTGAATGACCTAAAACTTGCAATTGTATTAAATGTATTTTGGTAATAATAAAATAAAGGGAAAAGGGGCATTTGCCGTAAAACCCTACGGTAGTCAAATGAATTTTTGAAAATAACTGCAAAGTTAAACAGCGCAGTATATTTCAGAAAATCATTTGACTACCTTCCTAGTTTTATTTTTAGTTGAAATTTGGTATGCGTAAACTAGACTTAATGAAGAAGATGTTCAAAAAATTTTATCAAAAAATTCCACCGGGAACCGCCCCAAATGGTGACGGTCGGACAAAATCTCCGGGTAAGAGGGAATTGCCTTTCCCTAAAATAAAATAAACATAACTATAGCGCATATATGCCACATCACTCTATTTCAACGAATAAACTCATGCGGTTCTATTTATATTGTTTGCCAATTCAACAATTATGTTTATTGTAGTGCATACTATCATACCTCACAAATTGGTGAGGATAGCATGTATGTATTCTGTACTACTACGTAAATTTTATTGACCAAGAATAAGGGACGGAGCCACATGTATAGATGTGGTGTCAATTGACACCACTCAAATAATTTTTTTAATTATATATATTGAGGTAAATTTTAAAAACTAATTTGACATCACCAATATAAATGAAATATTACCAATTGACACCACTCAAATTTTTTATGTAGTTATAAGAACTAATTTAACACCGCCTCTATAAATGGAATGAGGATCAAAGTATAAATATATGTATGAAATAAAGGTTATTTACAAAAAGTGATGTCTTACGTGTAGTGACAATGACACTATATCATAGCAACTTTAGTGATATTTTTTTAAATAAGTTCATTTCAAAGAAAAATTAGAATATTATTTAAAGTAAAAAATATACATAGTATAAACTGTATAATTAATATAGAGCTATTTTTGACATCAAATCGGGCCATTGTACCTATAAAGCATCATATTTTACCATCAAATCAACTTTATTTGATGGTTCGAATTAAAATTTTGATGGTTTGAATGATCAAGTTTGAAAGAGAAAATGACTTTGTATCATTTTTATTATATACTATGTACTTGAGTAGTTGGGATATGAAATAACTATTTAATTGATATGTATTACTCGTATTATTGATGATACTAGTGATGATTGACAGTAAGATTAGGAAATGAGGGGGTGGTGCGCTTATTAATAGAAGTGGTTCATGTGATTGATATTGAATTGATAGTGTGAGAATAAAGTAAAAATAATTTAGAATCAATCAAATGTTGCATAATTTGATATAAGATAATTTTAATGGGATGTGAGGAGTATCATGTAAAGTTGTTTTCCTATTTGAAAACCTAAACATTGACTCGAAAATTGTAGAAGACTTATACTTATTATTAAGTTTATTTTTAATATTGTGTCATAGAAAAAGTATTTAGTTTAAAAAGTTTTGACACCACTCAAATGAATCGCTGGCTCCGTCCCCGAGGTTCCAATTACGGTTTACGATGCTTGACTGACGATAAAACAACTTATTCCCGCTTCACACTCTGCTTATTTTTAGCAAACAAAATTTACATATTCAGATTCTACATTAAAACCGCTACAAAGTCTGATAAAAATAATGTAAGTTTGATAAAAATTTGATATATAAAACAAAAGATTAAGAATGATTTAAGTTGACCATGTGAATAGTGGACGGGAACCTTTAAATGGGACGGAGGGAGTTTTTGATCTACAAAAAGTCTACTTGTACCCACTTTAATACACACCTTATATATATTCCCAAAAATTTTTACCCCTTTCATCTCTTTTACCTCTTCCCCCACTTCTCTCTCCTCTCTCCCCCTCCCCCCCTCTCTTCTTCTACGAACACTTCCCCTCCCCCTTCGGCCTTCCTTCTACGCCATTTCTTTTTAGTTCTCTCTTCATTTTCAAAATCTTTTTTAATTCACCATCAATTATCAACTCATGAAAATTTTGGGAGTCTCTCTTCCCACATAATGCAACCATTTGTCCCAAAACTTTGAATCTTGAGGTAATAATTAATTTCAATTTTTTCTGTCTTTTGGATTATACTTTTTCCCCTTTTCAGATTCTTATGTGTCTTGTTATGTTGAAACTTAAAGCAAAGATTTTAGTACGATGTTGAATGTATGATTCTTTTGTTCCATCGTTATGGGTTGGTGGTGTTAATTTTTGAAATTGAAGTCAAACTATTCTATTTGTTTTTTTATGCACATGACATGTTTGTTTAAATGTTACTTGAAGTTTTAATTATAGTTGTATGTTTGTTTGTGAATTTCTAAGTTGAACTAGTTTATTTGGATTATTTTGTAATTATAGTTGTTTTTGGATTATTTTATAGTTTAGAATTTATTTGAGGTAAAATGGAATAATATGGGATAGTAGAAGCCTAGAAGGGTAGAATTCTCATTTGTGTTCAGAACATGTGTGTTAATTTATATTGTTTGTGCGTACTTAAAATATTGTATGTGTGATTATTTTTTTGTTTGTGTGAAAAAATATTTGTCTGTGTGTTCGTTTACCTGTGCTGATATTATAATCCAATGCATTTTATGTTCACTGTAGGTCACCTGGCTCTGGAATTTCTCTTGTTGCAGAAACCACTATTGTTTGCTTCATCTCGACTTGTGGAGTTGGATAAGAGGATAAATACATTGTTGTGCTATTAATTTTTGTGATTAGTTATATTATGAAATTAATGTTCTTGTATTTAAAATGACAATGTAACTAGAGTAGTGTTTTCAATGTTTATCTTTTGTATTGTGAAAATGATTCTATATGTTGCCAAAGGAATTGAAGTTGTGCTAATAATCCAAGTGTTATTAGTCTAATGCTTTTTAGCTTGAACACAAACAACTATTTCTTACGCATAGACCAAATAAACAAACACACATGACACATATAATGTTTAAATCACACACAAATTATATAAATGAACACACATACAATTACTTTCTATGCACAAACAAAATAAACGAAAACACACACAATATAAACAAACACACAGACTAATTTTCTATGCAAAAAAAAAATGAATACACCGACAACGTTTTAACCACATACATACAATATAAATGAACACAGACAATTTTTCACAATTTCATTTGACATAAACAATTAGGAGAAGACATTTTATGTCTTGTTCAAAGATAATTCCTCTCAACTTATTAGCTTGTTTAAGTGGCTATTTTGCATGTGACCAGACAATTCATATATGGTACACAGACATTTTCACTTACCATATTAACTCTCTCTAGTGGCTATTGTCTATGACCAGACACTTCATATCTGGTTCACAGACATTCCACTAACCATATTAAGAGGCCGTTTGGCAACACTGTTTTTTGCTTATCAGGCTTATAGTGACACCAAATTAGTGTCACTGAAAGTTTCTGTGACACTAAAAAAGTGTCGATGAAAGTCGGAAATAGTGACACTTTTTTAGTGTCACTACAAGTGTCACAAAATTGTGACACTATGGTATCAGTAGTTAGTGATACATATGTGACATAACTATTCGGTGACACTTTTACATCACATATTCTAGTGACACTATGGTATCACCAGTTAGTGATACATATGTGACATAACTATTCGGTGACACTTTTACATCACATATTCTAGTGACACCGTGGTATCATACTTTAGTGACACTTCAGTATCACTTTGGTTTGCATTATTTCAGCATTCCATTTCATGGGTAATTTAGAAAATCCATTTCAATTATATTTAAAAATTCCAATTCAATATTATCTAATCCCATACACTATAAAGCCAATAAATCTCAAAACATACATGGAACATTTAAAGCTTAATACTCATGTCAAATTCCAAGCTACATTGTTGTTGAACTTTGCATTCTAGGTATGCTGGACAAAACATGACAAAAATTCCAGGAAGTTCCAACACAAAAGTTATCACTTTACCACCAAGCAACTGTTGGTTAATAGAATTCTAAGCAAATACATAGTTATGTCCAAAAAAAGGTGAGCATCCTAGACATCGTACATACAACGCCAATAACAGTTCATAAGTACATATCGTCCAGTCAGCTTCACATCATCAAGTCTTCCTAGCAGCCGCATTCATCAACACTGAAAAATGACCACTATGTGCATAAGTACATATCGCCCAACCAGACAACTAACATCCATATACTTAAATTATGTTCTGAACTTTTGAATTATAAACTTACTTGTTATCAAAGTAGCTGCATATGTAGCCCATTCCTCACGTATTCCTATAATATCACTTTCACTGTATTCTTTAATTTCAGAAAACTACAATAAGAAATTACAAGTTATATTAGAACTTTGAAAGTACAGAAGTAATAAAGAACAAAGATTCTTGTTAACTCACATTTTGCTGCAAGAGTTTGACATCTGATGCAATGTCTTTCATATATTTCATAACAAAATAACCACATTCCATTCCTCCCGCTTGCTTCGGACACTGCAATTTTTAATCCAAACGGGACCATCACTTCAAATTTAAAACAAAACTCACAATGGAATCCCAGGAAAAAAATTTGGCCAAGTTTAATCATTTTTCCTTCTTGTTATGACTTATGGTTGCAGATTCCTGGGGAAAAGATTTAAGGTTTGACCAAGTTTTTCCTTGGTGTTGGGATCCATCTGTATTTCCTTGGTGCATCAATCTGTATTTCCAGATTGATGCACTTTCCACTTTCCTGCTTGGAAGACAACAGATATATCAAAGACTCACCTTTCCTTGCTTAACACCTAATATCATTTTATCCATTATCATGGATTTTCTTACAGATTTAATTACCAATCAAATGGAACTTATTATCTATCTTCTTATTCTGTTAACATGTGAGGTGTGTGTTTATATTCCTTTGATTCTGTCACTACCAACGATTGTGCTATCAAGGAATAGAAAAGACCAGTAAAGGTGGATCATTTAGTTTATATCTAAATTACAAATAATGGACAGCAAAGAACGATTTTACAAAGAAACCTCTAAGCATATACTCAATATAAGCAAACTACCTAAGTTTCAGCATGTTAGTGAAGGTACCTAAATTTGTTTATCAAGGGAAACTACCTAAATTTCACCAGAGAAACAATATGTTTTTTCCTATCATTAGCACAGTTACATAAATTTTTACACGCATCACATGTGTAAATTGTATGAATGTATAAGGTATATATTTTACTCCCATGCACTAAATTAAATGCACATACCATGACTCGCACCCATTTCAGATTCATCCTGTTCTTAGAAGTTGAGGCATGATGAATCCTCACTCCTCTGAAAACAAAAGACAAAATGTTATTATTAAAAAGAACTTTGAAGGGGCTATGAATAAGAACAAAAAAGCACACATAATGTTTAATTTTACGTTTAACTTAACTGATTCACTATGCTTTCCAAATCTTCTGCTGCAGATCCTCCTATAGAGTCCAAGTAATACACTGTTTGCCTAGCCATGTCAATTGCAGCCAAGACCCAATGATTTCTACATATCACAATTTTGTAATTATGTCATACAAATTCAACGATACTCTGGCTAGGTATTTTAATATACTAATTATGTACTACTTATCTATATTATATATTAAAACGGAAAAGTGCAGCAAGAGTTTTGAGCGGGAACTGCACTACCCGTTTGAGAGTTATAATGCCTTCTAGATTAGTCTTATTAATAATGTGGATTAATTATGCTGACATGATTTGTAACTTCCTATGCAGAATTAAATATTAAGGAGAGGAAGCTGTTCGGTTTATTATGCTTGAACTTCTCGACTCTCGAGTATGGTGCAAACGAATTGCAGCATTAATAAAAAAAAAGTGGAATCTTTAATTACTTTAGTTTGGCTGTTTAGTGTCCCTAGAAAAATTAATGATGGAACACGAGGCATGGTGTAATACGCCTTAAACAAAAAAGTTAAAAGTGGAATTTTTTAATTGCTTTAGTTTGGCCCTTTTGTTTCCCTAGAGAAATTGATTATTTGTATGTGACAAGGCTTTTAGTTTCCACCCACCTCTTGCCTATATAAACTGCCATGTCCGGTAACGACAACCCATCGCCTTGGCTTTTATGCTGAGTTACAGTTGTTTATTAGGAGAGCCTTTGCAAATGGACAACCCATCTCTTTCTTTCATTTTTGTTTAATCAATTTATTTTTTTCCTTTTTATTTTTATTTCTGAAAAGGCTGTTTAGTTTCCCCTATTGTGCTTCTCGATAGGTGTCGTATTACTCTGTTGAGACAAGGCTGTTTATCTTCATTCATAAAAATACATATATAAAAATTACGGTGTTGTATATATTGTAATTAAGGGATAACACACCAGCTGATTGAACTTTGATTCCATTCTATTATTGCTTTGCTGGCCTGCTGGGCCACATATAAAAGCTTTGATTTCTTTCTTCAGCTTCTGCAAGCGGACAAGTTGTTTAATGCAATTATTCATTTAAACAGGCATTTGATAAACTTACGTAAAGTATATGTCGGTTTATCGGATGATGAACTGAAATCGAATGTGAATAGGATAGGGGCTTATAATACGAATGCAGGCGAAAGATTGAAGAGAGATTTGATTCTAGACTTCTCTTCCGGCCAACACATCATCAAAGAAGTTGAAGGCTAAAATTAAGATTGAGAAGTTGGATACCTTGATTTGTCAAGGTAGATTTTTTTATTATTATCTATGGTTATGGACTTGTGGATAGATATTGCAAACTATTGGTTTGGTTCGTTTGACATTCTACCACAATTATGGTGGAACTTTATATTCGTTTTGGTTTGACATTTGGTTTGTTTGTGAAGCTTTGGTTTATCTTCAACATTAGATCACGGAACAAGTTGGGATCACACAAGTTAGGATTTGGAGTCACTTCAAATGTTGATTTAACCATTGCGCTACTCAGAATTCTAAGTTACTTTATTATGTGGCTAAAAAATATTGCAACTATATACTCCTTTCGTCTAAAAAAGATTGATCAAATTGACTTTTTTGTTAATGGTGATCATGTTTGACCAATGATATCTTTTAATATCAAAATTATATGAGCATATTTTTTATTAAGAAATCTTTCATAAAATCATAAAATGATACGTAGTATATAATTTGCACACACACACACACACACACATATATAATACTTAAAATCATTGTCTACTTTAACACCATTGATTAATAAAAGTCAAATTGGTCAATTCTTTTAGAGAGTGGTAGTTACTACCTCCGTCCCACTAAGTTTGGGACAAGAGAATGTGACACGGTTATTAATAAAAGTGGGTTTATGTGGTTGATATTGAATTGATAAAGTAAGAATAAAGTAGGAATGATTTAGAACCACACAAACTTTACCAAATAAGGTATGAGACAATCTTAGTGGGACGGATCGAAATGGTAAAATGAGACAATCATAGCGGGACGGAGGGAGTATTGACTAAATATTTTTTCAAATATCCAAAGTCATCGTTGGTATATCGTTTGTACTTTGTATGAGACCCACATTAAGTAATCAAATGATGTTTTTACTTGGACTGAAATATTTTGGTCTGATCTGGTAGATGTTTGGTCTCTGTGTCATTTATAACAATCCAAGTTCAAAACATCCGCTGAAGGATAACCATCACACTATTCAAAAAAAGGCAAGCTTAAGTTACAATTTCGTTTTTTTCTTTTTAACAATTGATGGCAATAATTTTTTAATAAAGATGCCATTAAACATTTTTGAGTAGCCATATTTTCCAAATCCATAAGCAATTCATTAACTTAAAAACTTGATTCTATTAGTGTCAAAAAAGGCAACCTTAAGGCTGATTGGAGAGGCAACCCATGGGGTCAAAAAGCAATTTTGATCTATTCACCCCTAAAAACTCCACAATCCTTGTATTTGGAGAGGCTAAGCCTGGATAGATGGCATCCCATGGGTAGAAATTAGATGACCTTTTCCACTCCCACCCAATTCACACTTCTCTAGAGGAAAGCAAAAAGGAGTTGCCGCATCAAATAATAATATGGGTCCCACTCAAAATGTAAATCTTATTTTATATTTAGAGTGTTTTAACTTTTTTATTTGTACTCTGATTTTTATAAATAATATATCAAAATTCTTAACTTTTTATGACCGTTCATATGACACCAATATTGCATATATAAAGTAAAAGGAAAAAAGTTGAAGTTTCAATTGATGGGAGATTTCAGACCTAAAATTTTTCCTAAATAGATTCAGGTGCCAAAGTTATCAAATATTTTTATTTTAAAATAGCTCTGAAGTAACAAAATTAAAATTAAACTTCAAATTCATTTACAAAAAACGGAAAGAAATGATGTATAATAATAAATGTAAGATTTTAATTAAAAAAACTTTACAGAGTGAATATATTGACGGTGTTGGGTTGTAGCGGAAAATAGTTTGACTGAGTGAATACATATAAAGAGTTGTGAAATTTAATTTATTGACAGAACAGGGTTGCGGGCAGCCTAAGTGACTTTTGAATTTCCCATTATAGGCTCTAAAGAAATAGAATATTTTTTTTTTGAAATTTGAAAATTGCTTATGGAGTTGAGAAACATTGCCACTCACAAATGATTAATGGCATGTTTAAAATCATTGTTTTGATTTTTATTGTGCAAAATATATTTATTTTAAGACACTTTTGAGTTTTTCTAAAATTTATGCTAAAAATCGTAAAAATAGGTTCTTTTTTGTTGTTGTTGGGGACATGTTGAGGTGTTGGGATACTTAGAAGGTGAAGTCTCTGAACAAGAGACGATATGTTGAATAAGTTTATGCTGGAGTTGGGGTCTTTTGGTACTATTGTTTCTTAGATTGGCCCTAAGTTGATTAACTAAAGATTGTTAATTTTCATGGAAAAAATGAAACCAAGTTTTAGTTAACTTAGGGCCATTAAAAGAGTTCGGGTCTTGATTAATTGGGTTTTACCATTAATTAATACTGCCAATAGTCTCAAGTAGTGCTATTCATATCTTTAATTAATAATGACAGCTACAGAAAGCTACTAATTTGTTAGTTTTAATCATTATTTTCTTAGAGCAGCGAGCAACGCCGATCCTACTTAAATTCGGATCTGAGTCAAACTTTTTAAAAGGCTTTCATCTATTAATTCATACTCAGTATTATTAAACTACAACAAATGTACAATATGCCAAATTACTATCACACATACGTAGTATAAAAATATATGATTCATAGGATTAAAAAATCTATTCTTAAAGACGAGATATAATATTTCCCGTGCATCGCACGGGTAACATACTAGTGTATGTGTAAAAGAAATACGAAGTAGTAATGTCCTAAATAGGATTAAAGCCTAAATAGGATGTTTTTATTTCATCTTCTCAGGAACATAGTCTATATAGGGAAATTATTTCGTAGTAAGGACCAAGGGTCCAAGTACTTTTTCTGATGTCAAAAAGAAGAATCAGTGTGTACACTGCATGTGTTTGTGTTGATTGAAAGCAGGGGGAAAAAGTAATAATCAGAAGAAAGAAAGACCAGTGGTGTAAATGATATGATGATAGGAGCTATATTTTTAAGGACAAGAATGTGTACTGCACTTTACATTTGCCTCCTCCTCACACAGAACAACAAATTGGCATACCCCTTCCAAAACAAAAGGGGACATCTTAATGTGGCATGCATAATTCAAATTCCACAGTGATTGACTTATGAGAAAAGAAGGGGTAAAAAGATGGAAAACAAACTTCTCAATCAGCAAACAATCAGAAGAAATCAATCTCAAAATAATTATTACCCAGTATTATAGGGGATTAATGTAATCTGTCCGAGCAATGCAACGCCTAAGAGATCGGCTATATACTGTGACCTCTTTGTTACAGATTGCACGGTTTGCTTCTTCGGTTTGCGTACCGCTGCAGAAGTACCAAACTGAACAAGGATCTCCCCTCCTTCTTTTATCATCTGCTCGTGCAAGTACCTTGTATATGAATGAAGTATTAAGTTACTACTGATCCGGGTAGAGCAAGGACAAACAACTAAGAAATGTTAATTCAACCACTACCAGTTTTATATAATTTAAATATATTCAATAACTTCGACATTATAAAATAGGAGCTTAATACCTTGACCAAATCTCAATTATGGAGTTTGAAACCTCCTCAAAGTTGATGACTAACCGGCAAACATCTTTGTTAAACACAGATTTAGTTTCGAACCCAAATATTTCAGCACCATGGCTGATTGTGCACTCATCACCTAGACAGTTCTCAACTAAAATGGAAAACATTTGCAAGTTAGCACTAGGACTTCTTTTCTTTTCGGCAACTGCCCTTGTCCTTCTTTGCATATTTAGTGGGGGTTTTGCTTTCATTTTTGCCCTCTTCTCTTTGACAACCACCACACCGTTCAAGTCATCCATATCATCTTCTGTCTCTACATCTTTTGTGTCTTTGTTGTGACTTTTTGAAGCTGACTTCATCCTGCATATACAAACAGAGAAATAAGTAAAAAAATATTACTTCTTTGTAAACAGACACTAAATAAAATAATACACAACTGAAAATCTGAAAAATTCACCTATAAAGCTTTGTAATATCAAACAGTCACTTTTTGTAACAAGAAAAGACATTGCACTCCGAACTCACATATGTTTCATTGAGAGGACAGTTTATGGTGCCTATCACCATCATCTATGGTTCATGAATCTGGAATATTTATTGGGTATTGTGAAGTTAGGGGCTCATGTATGATCATTTCATCACATTCAGTATCCGCAGAATTGTTGACCCTTTGACCAACTGAACAAACTATAGATTTTCTTGGATCAAGTTGATCTTTCACATAAAAAACTTGCTTTGCATGTGAGGCTAGAATGAAACAATCTGTTTTGTGACCAATCTTATTTAGATCAACTAATGTGAACCCCAACTTGTCTTTTTTCACATGCCTACTATGTACCCAATCACACTTGAAAACGACCCTCTTAGTCATGAGGTAGTGAAGGACCCAGATTTCCACAACGACACCATAGTAATTCATGTTGGAAACTCCAGTCGTGTCTGCTATAAGAGTAACCCCGCTATTTTGTGTTACTCGATTCAAATCCCGATCCTTTGTTGCAAAGCTATATCCATTTACAATGTACCGTGAATATGTTGTCACGGTTGTGTTTGGTTTTTTTGCTAGCCACTGGACTATTTTCTCAACACACACACCATTTGCAATATCATTATGGACCTACACATTATAAATTTAAAGTTCAATATATTTGAGTTAAATATGTATTTTCAGTAACATAAAATTAAAGAGCATTTAACCTTCTCCTCAAACCATGAGACAAAGACTCGATAATGCTCTGTTTCACAACAACCATCAAAGTTTGATTGCAGCTCCAACATGTGCTGCCTTTTTTCATTTATGAACAAACATTAAGATATTTGGCTTTTGAAAAAATGGACATAATGGATAAAAATAAAATGAATTCTTACTGTATGTACGGCAAAACTTCTGGCGTATTAAATAGAACGGTTCGATGTGCTTGCTCGAGCAGGGAACAATCCACTATTTTAGTATCCCCACGTCCTAGGGGCCTCTCAATTGGCTCGATATTGTCACAATCTACAGGTAATCCAATAGACTGGTGGTTTGCAAGATATTCAGCGCAAAACTCAAGCGCTTCTTCAGCTGCATAACATTCTGCCATGCATCCCTCGGGATGGTAATGATTGCGGACATACGCTTTTAAGAACTTCATGCTTCTCTCAAAAGGGTACATCCAACAAAGGTAAACCGGGCCACATAATCGCACTTGAGCAACGAGATGGACCGTTAAATGAACCATTATATCGAAAAATGAAGGCAGAAAGTATTGCTCAAAACAGCACATGGTGATGTGGTGATTAGACTCTAGTTCATCAAGTGAATCAATATCCAACACTTTCTCACACAATTTATTAAAGAATAAACAGAAGTTAGTAATAGCATTTGTAACATTTTCAGCCACTGACATGTTACGAATGGCTAAGGGAAGTATCTGTTGCATCAAGGTGTGACAATCATGAGACTTGAGACCTTGAAGGTGACTCTCGTCATCAGAAACAATGCTTTTCAGGTTAGAGGAATAACCATCTGGTACCTTTATTGCCAAAATGGTTTCACAGAATTTGTGTTTGTCTTGTTTGGTCAAGGTGTAGGGTGCCGGAGGTAAAGAATTCGAATTTTCTTCAGGAATTAAGTGTTTCTTTATTTTCAAATGACTAAGGTCATTTCGAGCTTGGGGCCCATCCTTTGACTTTTTCGATTGATCCAGAAGGGTTCCATAGATGCTCTCGCACACGTTCTTTTCAATGTGCATCACATCTAATAGGTGACGAATTAGCAAATGCTGCCAGTACTCTAAGTTAAAAAAAATTGATTTGCGTTTGAACAATTTGTTCACACCTCCATCATTCTGATCACACCTTCTCTTTCGTTTGCCGTCCTTGCGCTTCCCACTCTTATAATTTATCCCTTCTACCAATTCGAGAACCTCTTCACCAGACAGAGTTGCAGGGGCTCCAGCTCTCTCTACTTTATTATTGAAAGGTTTCTTAAGATCTCTAAACCTATGGTTATCAGGTAAAAAGCGACGATGGCTCATATACACACATTTTTTGCTACATTTCAGCCATGTAGATGAAGTGGCTGAACCACAAATGGGGCAAGCATAATAGCCTTTAACAGTGCATGCAGACAGATTACCATAAGCAGGAAAGTCGCTTATAGTCCACATCAGTATAGCCCTTAACTTGAAGGTTTCCTTTCTGAAACTATCGAAAACTTCTACACCCAAATGCCAAAGAGTGTTTAGGTCATCTATCAAGGGTTCTAAATAGACATCTATATCATTTCCGGGCAATTTAGGACCAGATATTAAGAGAGATAACATCATGAACTTTCGTTTCATGGTCAACCAAGGCGGAAGGTTGTAAATAACTAATTGGACAGGCCAAACACTGTACGAGGAGCTGAGTGAACTGTGAGGATTTACTCCATCACTTGAAAGAGCCAACCTAAGATTTCTAGGATCTTCACTAAAATCAGGCCAGACTTTATCAATGTGTTTCCAAGCTTGAGCATCGGCTGGATGACGCAATTTCCCATCTTTAATGCGATGATTTGCGTGCCATGTCAAGTGCTCAGCAGTTTGGGGTGATTGGAACATACGCTTGAATCGAGGAATTGGAGGAAAATACCACATCACTTTCTCAGGAATTCTATTCGTAGCTGTTATGGATCCATTTTTTTTCTTTCCACCTAGACTCACCACATTTGGGACAGATTTCAATGTCACTATGTTGCTTATGAAAAAGGATGCAGTCATTACGGCAAGCATGTATTTTTTGGTAATCCAATCCTAAAACCTTCATTATTTTCTTAGCTTCATACATTGAATTAGGAATAGTGTTGTCAGCGGGTAATATTCTTGAAAGAGCTTCTAGTAAAGCTGTGAACCCTTGATTAGACCACCCATATTTCCCTTTAATATTGAACAGCAACATTAACCCCGATAGCCTAGTATAATTTGACCCTTGATACAATGGCTTTTCTGCATCTTCAACTACTTCCTTAAAAGCTTTTGGGTTACCCTCTAGTTGTTCATAGATATCACCTAACATCTCGTCAACTTCATTTTGATCATGATATGTTGACTGTGACGGAATAAAGTTAGGGGGCGGTTCAGTCTCTCCATGCCTACTCCAAATAAGGTAAGTTTTCATGAAACCTACTCTCAACAAATGCATTTTAATTTTTTCAGGAGTACTAAATTCCATGTTGCAACAATCTTTACATGGACACCTGAATGATCTACGATTTTCTGAGTTAACAATAACAAACTGTATAAACTCATCAACTCCATTTGTGTATGCTTCACACAGTCTGTTACCTTCCTTTATCCATGACCTATCCATCTCTAGATTCCTGATAATTATTATATGCCAACAACATATTTAACATTATGATTTAAACAACATATACATGTCTGATGAATTCAAAAATAACATTTCAATTAGAGATATGTGAGTATTGCAGTCATCATAAATTCACGAATAATACTATAGTCATTACTGAACATGTTTGGGTTGCTTTAATCAAAGAGTGTACCCCATACAGCTTTAGCCAATGTTTGAAATTACGGGATTGCGCAAATATATCTGTAAACTGACTGCCCATACAAAAATGAGATGAATAGCATTTGACCCCAAAAATCAGGGAAATATCTGCCAATATCCCAGATATGTGGCTTCTAGAACAAATTTTCAAACATAAAAACCTTAGAAATTCTCAGACATTTTCAGTTCCTGCATGATTTTCCCTAAAAAAAAATCTGTGAAATAGGGGCATACAAAGGTCATTATCTTTATTGACAGTTTAAACAAATTATACATACATACTTCATATAATAATATGATAGTAATTTGTGTATACGAACCTTAGCTTTGAGAAATTTTTAGCCAGAAATCAGATTTAGCCAGAAAATTGATTTAGCTCTTTTAAAACATTTAAAAGTTTTAGTTTAAAATTTCAAAACACATGTAAACATACTGAAATCTCACATAATGAAACACACAATAGACAGAAAGAAGCATTTAATCGCACATAATGAAACACACAAGTGACAGAATTGGACCATCAAAGGACATACTGAAATCTTTTTTTTAGGACATACTGAAATCACAACATGAATTAGCTATTTGCAATATAATATTCGTACATACGAACCTTAACTTTGCGTCACAAAAAAGAGAGATGTGATGGTCTTTGGTAATGCAACCGATGCTAACCTTGATTGATACTGGAACTGCCTTGACTCGTGACCTAGGGGGTGAAGCAAACTATAGATTGATGGAATAGAGATGGCTATTTCACAGCCGTACTTCGCAGAAGGCAAGCTATCGACGACGGACTGA